GCTGTTGTTGAACAACGAGCCACTCAACTTCAAGGTGCAATCCTACTACAGGTGGTGATTGCGTCCTTTGTCTGCCCCTCCCGGGGTGTTCATGCTACGTTATGTTCGGGGCTAAACCCCGACCGGTAACGTGATGATCAGCACAAAAAAAGCCTGTCTGAATCTCGACCTCGACTCCTTTAGGAGCGTCCGTCAACGATCGGCGTTCACAACTGGAAGCTCTGCTTCCCTAAATAGACCATGTACATACGCATTTGCACCGTGTAGCACAATGAGCCCAGAATGTACACCTGCGGAGCAACGTGAGACACCCTGCGACCAATAGGCTTCACCAGATCGGCGGTGACATTTTAGCAAATCGCAAAAAACAACCATTTCCAAAAATCCGAGTTTCAAAAAACGCACCATGCGGGTGCAAGGGCAACCAGTTCTTCAGGGCTACCGTTTCCGTATAACCGCTGTGCGATATCAGCCAGACCGTTGGCCCCGTTTCGCAACCGCGACATCCCGCAATGTGCTCTAGTCAAAATGTCATAGCGATTGCATTAAAAAAGGCAATTTCTTTGTTGGGATTTTCGCCGGTGGCAAAAAAGGGCTAACATTGCACCTTTTTAAATTTGTAAAGTTTCCTTTTGTTTCGCTGCCAGCGCTTGCTAAGACTTTGTGCCATGTCTCCTCTTTGTCTCAGCCCAGGCCGCTTTGGGGAATCTTATGACGGACCAGCCCACCACAGTTCCCACCCCCCAGGCCCCGAAAACCCCGGCAAACCTACAATTCGGAGTGATATATAAGAAAGGAGAGGAAAAGAAAAAAACGTTTCAAATATTTTTCTCAATGTGGGAACGCCGGGGCTTATATATTTTTGGGAGCGCCTGACTACGACATGACTCCTGGTGCGTGCTTATGCCTCTGCACTTGGGCCCCCTACCACTGCCATTGCAATTCGGCCTATTTAGGCATCTTCATACTACTTCTTTTTCTGCTTTTTTCCTTAATACCCACCCGACATCGAGTCAAAGCTCTCCGACGCTCGACTCATATACCCCAGATTACCCCTGATTCCTTATCAGACCCTTGGTTATCGGACTCCGTGGCTACCATACTGTGCAATTTTAGGTGACCCACCCGGTAACTGCCACATTTTGACCCCCAGTACCAAGTACCCACCGCTGTACTTGTACTCCAGACCATCGCCTCCTCATAGTCCCCCGACTAGAGGCCCCCTCACACTCACCCCAATTCCTCAACCGGTTCAACCCCACAACCACCATGGGGTTGAAGACCACCGAGTTCTTTGAAAACACCTCCTACGATTCAAAGAACAACAAGATATTTGTATGCAACGAATGCCTGGCGCACCTCTGTCTTTCCAACTTGGTTATCTCTGACCAGTTCACAGGGGCCTCTGGCCACGCCTACTTGGTGGACAAGCTCATTAACGTGCAGCCCGACGGACCCGACCAGGAAAAGACCTTTCGAACAGGCGTCTACATTGTCAACGACATCCGCTGCTCCCAGTGCCGGACCCGCTTGGGCTGGTACTACAAGAAGCTGGCAGCGTACGCAGAAGCATACAAGGAGGGCAAATACGTGGTGGAGAGAGCCTTCATCAGGGAGGTGCCCAACCTCCTGCTGACAGCATCGCTTCTCCAGCAGGCACGTCTGCTGCGCCGCCGCCGGTCTAGCGCCAACAGTGTGGCGTCTCTGGTAGACGACGAGTCACTGGTTGATTCCTTTCGTAGAAGACGCTCGGACGAGTTTAAGTTTGGCACGGTTAATATCAAGATCGAGCTGGCTCGGCTAGTCCCGGGCTCCCGTTCGCTGCACTTTCTGGCGGTCAAGGACGACTTTGACGAGCATGACGAGGACCCTAATGTGTTTGTCGATGCCTAGCTCTCTCGTCTACACCTTTCTCTTCTCTATACATTGTTTGGTTTGGTTTTTAGGTTGGTTTAGTGATTATTAAATGGTAAATATTGAATGGCGTAGTCTAGGCTTGTAATGGCTTCAGTGGCTTGAGTGGTTGATAGTGGTCCAGGTGAAACACCGCATTACTTATCTAAACCGCCTAGAACATGAACATACATAATTCGGAGGACACAATTCACATTCAGATTGTCCTATCTCTAATATTCTTTATTCTCTTAATGTTAATTAATGCAACTGAATGTTCCTGACTTACACCTTTGAACCCAATTCTAGATCCCTACATTGGCCTCTTCAACCTCAACTACTTCAACCGCACCCTACAATGCTGTCCCATCTTCTCCGTCTCTCATTACCCGAATATGCTATTATGCTAGTGTTTGGCTCTCTTGGCTGCCGATGTTCCTCTATGGCTCTTTCTCTTCTTCTCCTCGCTGCTGCTTTCGTCCTTTGGCGTGAGCTTGGTGTAAATTAAACAGTATGCCGAGGGATCTGTCAAGGCCTTGCGTTCGTCCAACTTGTTAATATACTCATCATCATACGTGGACCACAGACCGTCTGGCTGAAGACAGTGGCAGATATAGTGGCCCGACAGGATAGACCTGCCTTCGTGGACAATGACCGATATAAGCTGGTACTTTGTGGATTCCTGGGTCATGGTGTAAGGGGCCAAGTCGAGGAAACCGGGGTAGACGATGGCTTGCTTGACCTTGGAGGAAGACAGGCCGTTGAACTTGAAACGCTTCAAGTGGACCATGAGTGTCTCTGGACTGCGCTCAATCATGGACTTTTTGGTTGCAACGGTTCTCTTTTTGCACTTTTCACAGTGGTAGCCGGAGGACTCGTCGACCTTGTCCTTTTTGATTGTTTCCGTGGAAAAGTAGTCGTTTATGCTCTTCTCGATGGAGTAGCGGCCACAGGGCACCTCCTCGGTTTCCAGGCTGCGTCTTTTTTTGTTTAGTCCCAACGACAAGTCGTAAAATTCCTGCTTGGTGGTGCTGACGGTGTTGCACTCGCGACAGGTGACTTCCTGTTGTAGTAGGCCGCCAAAGATATCGTAGATAATGGACTCGTTCAACTTGCGGCCCTTGGGCGTGGAGTCCTCCTGGAACCTCGACATCAAGCTCATGAAGTACTCGTGGGAGTCTTCCTGCTGCCATTCGCTCATCATGCAGTTGATGTCAAAGAGCCTCTGGATGACCTTTTTGGGGTTGACGAACTTACGGGGGCCCTTGCCGTGGCCGGAGGAAAACCCCCACATTCGGCTGGAGAGCTCCGCCACCGTGTTGGTGACGCTTCTATTGGGGAGCTCGTGCTTCCCTTCAAGCACTTCTAGAAGGTAGTGCTGGACCGCTGGAATGTGGACCATCAGCTGGATGGCCAGGTTCATGTAGCATGTGACGCCGAAGTTGAGGAGCCCCACGGGGTGCTTGCCCTGGAACTTTTTCGTCCAGTTCTTGACGATCCGGGTGGATCCGTTCAGACCGCGGTCAAGGGCCGTTTCTGTGATGTTGTAGTGGCCCTTGGGGTGCTTGGCCAACGTGATTGGCTGTCTTTTGGTCTCGCTTTCCTTGGCCGGGAGGTCTGGCGACGTTGGCGGCGTTTTGCGTGCATCTGCTAGAAGGTCTCTCTTCAACTGGGCCATATCCTCAGGAGCACCATCGGAGGCCTCAGCGTCCGACTCTTTTTCTGAGTCGTTGTCGATGTGGTCTGGCTCGCCTTCACCACCGTCTTCGTCCGCCTCTTCATCTTCGTCAGATTCTGACTCGGACTCTTCCTCCTCCTCAGACTCACAGTTGTAGGACCCATCCAGCTCGTCTTCCTCCGGCTCAACGGACTTCTCCACCTCCAGCTTCTCGTCAGCCTCAATCTCCAGCTTCTCTACATCCTCCTCGCTGCGGAACCCCTGGAACAGACTGTCTGTCTGGAACTCAGAAGCCAGCTCGTAGTGCGACTCGTCTGAGCTCTCCACCACCTTCTCAGCCTTCTCCTTCTCCTTCTTCTCTTTCTTCTCCTTCTTGGTCAAGTACTTTCTCCCCGTGTAGGCGGCTATGGCGTCGGCCATGGAACGCGGCTGGACCTTGATGGTCCGCTTTGGCTTCAACACCGGTGTTTCCTGCGATGGCACACTCTTGTTCGATCCAAGCACAATGTAGGCCGGGTTTTTCTCCTTTTCGGCGTCTTTCTCGGGCGCTTTGGCGGCAACAAACGTGAGCGGGTTGCCCAAGATGCGGTCGACCAACGGGTTGGACATTTTGTGCCTGGTGATGTCTTCCAAATCGGTGCTTGTGGGTGTTGCTCGCTGCGAAAAACGCCATAAAAAGTGCCCTGTCGGCACAGGAACAAGCAACCGCGATGCCCTCCAGGGATGGAGAAAATGGCGGTTTTGGGGCCTGGCGGGGGTTCAAAGGGTGGATTTGGAAAAATTGGGGTTGGTTTTGGCGGCGGATTTTGCTCTTTTTATATTTGCCAGGAGGTTTTCCGGTTTTTCGTGGTGATGAGCGGTGGCTGGGCCGGGGTGCGTTTTGCACCCATTTTGAGACAAATGGACAATGAGACATGGACTGTGGTGACGTGACAAGCGACAAGAGGGGGCATAGAGGTGCGCTACGGATTTTGATGGTTTTCGTGGAACGAGAGTTTCAGTTTTGATGATTTGGGACAGACGAACGCTGGAGGGCTTATTTCTGGGGCCAATGTGTGGCGGTGGTATAGGGCCTCGGTGTCGTGGGACATGTACAAGACTCATCGAGGCGTGAGCCTAGACCGTGAGGACGGTGAGGACGATGAGGGATTAGCATGGACGGACTTCAATATCGATTTGAGCGATTCTGGTAGAGGATGCTGCTTTTGGTTTTTAGGGTTTTGAGCCGTACGCGTGTGTGGATTTGGGGCTGGTACGGTTGACCACTAGACGCCTTGTAGAAATGGTGGTGGTGGCAGTCGGCCGCCAGGGTTCCTCAAACAAGCTGTAAACGACGATAGACTCATCCCAACAATCCCAATATCCCACTTCACAGCTCTATTGGACTGGTTCCATCACGCCTCTCTCACATCTTCAAGGCTCCACCACCTCAAATGGCTGCACCCTCACCAAATACCTTCCTCTGGGCCCGCTTTACAAGCATCAGAAGCAACTCGGAATGGCCCACGGCAGCGACCTGACGCTCGTCCTCTCGCAACTTGCTGTGTGCTTTCTGCGTCTTCGCCTTGAGCTCGTTGCTCAACTTCTTGTAAACATCGCCAGTGGCTAGACGCTTGTGGGTCGATGACTGCTGACGCTCGCCTTCTCGAATACTGGTTCGGCTATCATCGGTGCTGTGCAAGCGCTTTTTGGCGTTTCCGATCTCGAGAGGCTCACCGTCCAAGCTCTGCTCCTCCTCTGTCTCCATCTGACCCTCGTCGTCTCCGGCTTCGTCTCTATCGCTGGCAGTCTTGGAGGCCTGCTCCTCATCGTCGTCTTCATTATCTTCGTCATCTTCATCATCGTCCTCGTCATCTTCATCATCATCCTCGTCATTCTCTCCATCGACATCGCCCTCGTCATCTACTACTTCCTCGTCGCTCTCTCCTCGAGTAGCTCCACACAGCAACTGTTCTCGCAAATGACGCAAATGTAAAACCTCTTTCACGGGCCGGCTGACCAATGCTTCGAAGGAATGCTTGAAGTACTTTGGCTCCTTCACCTCACGAGCAAAGTTCAACTCGCTCATGAGCTGCTCGACTCTATCTATTAGCCTTCTGTCGTACTCCTGCGATGCGTTTTCAGAATAGAATAGGTTGGCTGCCCAGGACTTGTTCAAGATCATATCGATGCACTCTTCGTCGCTTCTGCTCTTGAATAACTCGATATCAAGCGCATAGTATTGATCAGCATGAATACCGAAATCTTTCATCTTCTCCTTCGATCGAGTATTCACATTCTTGCCCTTGGAACCTTCTCTGGACTCATACTCCATGGGCAACGTTCTGAACGCTCCAATCTCTATTTTGCCCTGGTTCGACAGCTGAACGGGGTCCACAACAATGGCCAAATAGGGGTCTTGAAAGTTTTGATTTAGACTCTGGGTGGCAACATCGATTCCACTGAGCCAGCATCCGTAGCCTGGATGTGAGTGGTACCAGCCCACAATGTGCTCCTCTCGGCCAGCCGAGTTCATGAGATCAAGGTACTGGACCATGTATTCGTAAGCTTCGTTTTGGGCATTTACTCGAGTTTCCGTGCCTTCCACGGGTAGTGAATACACATCCATGACGATGATGGATGTTCCGATGATTTTGCCCGTGAGCATGCCCATGATTTCAATTGAACCGCCCAGCTTGGCATGTATGCTCATTTTCACAAGTGCCAATGCTGATATAAGCACGTTTTTGAAGTACTTGGGCAGATTCTTCCATGGTTGACTGCTGATCGCTGCGTAGTCTGGTTTCCTGTCATATAGCGATTTGAGCCTGATATCGCTGAGTTGCGAAAGCTTCTCTTGACTCAATCGGTAGCTAATGGTTTTGCTGTTATCAGGAGAGGCACTCTGGGCCAATTTGTGGAGGGAGCAGCTGTACATTGTGCCTTTGAAAGTAGGTGATATCAGTACTACGCACTATCGCGGCTCCAGGTTTGGAAGATACATGATTCATTAAACAACAGCGAGCAAACCTATTTTCGCCCACTGGGGCCGACAACGTAGTAGCGGGATCCGTCGTCTTGATATTCGGCATCGGGCCCGCCGGTGCCATATCTGGATCTGGGCCACGATCTGTAGCTATCTGCGGCACCAGACCAGTTGCTGTTGTAGTCCCTGTACTGGGTGTACAGCGACGTTCTTCTGGCTCTGAAGGCCAGGTCGAGGCCACCGGAGAAACTCCTTCCAGGAGCCCTTGGCCTTTCATGGGGTTCGTTCTCGTGCTTGGCTCTGGCAGCAGCCTTGAACTTACTATTAACCGGAGGGGGCGCCAACACCACAGGCATGTCAGACGACAAGATCATCTTGGGGTAGTTGCTCAACTCCCGGTACTGGACGTTGATGTTCCTGTCCATGAACATGGTGTGGTTATCCTTAGCAACGGCACTGGCAGCGGAGGCCTCTTCCTCAAAGGTGACAAATCCATACGACGCCAGCGTCTTGTGGATCACCGAAACAGACTTGACAGCACCGTGTCTCAGAAAATGACGCTCCAAGTCGTTGTGGGTAGCGAGACGGCTCAACAGGCCAACAAAGACGGTGTACTTGTCGAACCTACCGTTCGTGCACTGATCCTCGATGTTCTTGGCCCATTCGACATGATAAGCGGAATCATCGGTCAAGCTGGCAAAAGCTCTGATGGCGTCGTCACGGTAAGAGAACTTGGCAAACCAGAAGCGGCATTCCTCGTCTAAAGTGGCGTGCTTGACCCTGCCGTGTTGATCACTAGCAACAACAAGCTCCGTCTCGCCAAACTCCTTGAGCGTGTCCATTACGGCGTTTTTGCTGATAGAGTTGAAGGTGGTGATGAAGATGGTTCTGTTGACCTTGGCGGCTTCACAGCGGATGACACGACCGTCGAGAACTGCGTTGTGACTCTGGGCAATGGCGTTCTTCGAGTCCACGTCGTTGTCGTATTGAACAAACGCGTATGGACGGCCCGAGTAGTCTCTCAAGACCTTGACGTTGACGATCTTGCCAAACTGCTCAAAGTGGTCCGTGACGGACTTACACAACTCCACGTCAGTCTTGGTGTAAAGAAGACTTGCCACGAAGACACAGGCGGAAGGTTTGCCCTTGGAGTTCTTGGATCCCTCCAGCTCTTTGGCTTCTGAGTCATCAAAAACAGGCGTGGTCTTGGAGTCCTCCTTTTTGGTGTCAACTCTGCTAGAGACGAGGGAGAGTTTTGACGGTTTCACAGTAGAGGAGTTCTGGACGTTGATGGCGTTGGCGTTCCACGAGCGCAAGGGCTCGGGTTTAGGGTTAATAGAGTATGGCATGGTGAATGCTTACAGTTAGTTAAGAAATGTATTCGAAAGAAAAAGTGGTGGTGGTAGAATGCCAAAGGGTGCGATCTCTGGGTTTATATAATTTCCGGGTGCGTGCGGCTGAAATGGCTGCAAAAAACGGCCTCACTGAGGTTTATGAGACGAAAGGGATTAGAAGAAAGCAAAAAGGAAGAGGGTAGCGAAAAGCAGGGTTGCGATGCTTGGTACTGGTGAACCGACGCCGTTGGCAAAAGCACAAATTCCGGGCTCCGTGACGGTGACAGTAATAGCAGGACAAGAAGGCATACCAGATTCAGCAATACCTTGGGAAACAGGCGTCAGATGAGATGGAGCGTCAGATGCTTCAGACAAATTGTTGTTACCTGAACTCTCCTTTGGTGGTGAACTCTCCTTTGGTGGTGAACTCTCCTTTGGTGGTGAACTCTCCTTTGGTGGTGAACTCTCCTTTGGTGGTGAACTCTCCTTTGGTGGAGCAGCAGGGTTCGGAACAGTGAGGGTGGTCTCCGTAGTTATCACCTCAGATCCTGTGATGGTATTGACAGATTCCTCACAAGAAGACGTTGTTGACGTTTCAACCAGCGTTTCAAGCCACAGGGAGATGACCACCGTGACCACAGCCTTCACCGTGGCATGAGCCGTTCCTGAACAGCTCTGTGTGACTTGGGAGTACGAGCCGTTTCTGAAATCAAAGCCTCTCTTGACAACAGCAGTGCAGCTCTCAGGGGCTACCTCCTCAGTGTGAAGGTTGGTTACCGAAGAGGAGGTGGATATGGTCACCACTTCTGTCTTCAGAACGACACTTGGATGGCACTGGGTGACTGTTTCCACAGAGGTCAGGGGAACAACAACGGTGATGGTGGAAACGATCCATTCAGACGACAGGGGAGGCGGAGCTTCAGTAATTGGACCGGAGTCCAGCCAAGTAGCTGTTGTTGAAGTCGTAGCAGGAGCTTGGGTTACTGGAGTCTCAGCCTGATCAGTAGGCTCCGTCTGAGTAGTTGTATCCTCAGTTGTAGCAGAAGTCGTTTCATCAGGGGTTGTCGATTCAGGGGTTCTCAGACTTGTAGTCTCCGGAACCTCCGCTGGACCAGTGTAGGTGATGGTGCCTGCTAAAGACTCAGCAGTGGTGATCACCAGGCAGTCGGTACAGTCCTCGAAGTCCGGGTTAACCTAGTGTTAGGGCAGCAGGTGCAGCTACAGGGTGGGGCATACTCTAGCGGCGAGGGCAGCGGTGGCGAAAAGAAGAAAAAGCATGTATGGAGAGGAAAAGGGCGGGAACGCTGTTCTTATATAGTTGGGCTCGAGGTGAAATTCGACCAGATCGGGAAGGCCCCTGCCGCCCCACGCAGGAGACCCTCCGGGGTTGATATAAATAGGGGAGGTTCCTGGTGGTTTTGGAGGAAGGGATTTTTTTATCGGAGTTTGTGGGACTGGGTTGGGGATGGCATTGATGTTGTAGTACGGATTGAGCGGTTGGTGGAGGAGGAGGAGGAGGAGGTGATTCACCATTGGATAACCCAAGGGCAGGAAGCCACAAATTCCTGATAACAGATAAAACTATTAAATCGGGAGATTTGTGACCAGGAGGCTCAATTCTTGATATGGGTGCTGGGTAGGCGGAGGGTAGGTATGTTGATGAGGAACAAACAGCTTTAGTTGGAACTGATAGTCCAAAGGCGGCCAAACGACATGGACTTCAAAACAAGGCGGGACTGGATTTAATTTCATTCTCTTCATCAAATGAATTAATTAAAGGAACTTGAATCACCACCAAATCCACATCTTCAATGGGTGGTTGGTAGTACCTTACTCACCGTTTCGCAGCCATACTGTGGATGTCTCAGAACAAAGCACACCTCCACCCTACACCAAACAATCAAAACACGTTCAATTGGTCCACAGTTTCCTCAATTCTTTTCGACTAGTCGTTTAAAACAAAATCCTTGAATCCACCTCCCTTCCTCAACACCTCAACTTACTATCACCCCTCCCATACAACTTCTACATCCTACTACATCACCACCACCACCACGACCACCACAACACCACCCAAGGCCTAGAACCCCGCTATGTCCGCCCCTCACAGACAGCACTAAATCCAGTCCCCGTGCCACAACAATAATACTACCAATCCTACCAATCCTGCCATTCAACAATGCCGCAAACTTTCACGTTCTGCATTCCACGGATCCCACCTCATGGGTGCAAAATCCACATGGAGCAGCCTTCATCCCCTGAAGGTGCAATATCAAATGCCACCCATTCAGCCGCTCCCGTACTTCCACAAAACGGCTGTGCAATCTCGCCTGCGGTTAGAGTTACTACAGAAAGCGTGTCCCTGAGGCGTTTGCAGCAATCCATCCTGCGGAGAACCGGACCTGGTTTGGAGAGTGTGATTTTGGTGGAGTGGACCGGAGAAAGTCGGGTTGTGCGGTGGTGGTAGTAGTGGATGGGGCCGGGGGATCTCGGAATCTCCGATAAGCAACACCCGTTGATTGTGGTTGCTTGAATTTTATGAAAACACTAAATTGTTAACCACGGATCCGGAATGTAGCTGGGGCAATGTTCGGCTTAACGGGTCGGGGAGAAGGTGGAGTGGTTGGAGAATCTGGGGTATCTACGCGGTGTGGCTGAACTGTGAATAACCACGGAAAGCGGGTTTTCCATATTTTTTTTTTTTTTTGATTTTGCCATTTTCTCAATTCCAGGCAATTGCCAAATTGCATCGGGGAAGCAAACTTTATCTTTTCACTTATCTCGGAAAAACCCTTCCGGGGTGCCCGCGGTTTAAAGCATGGTACGTTATTCTCCACTTTCCGTAACCCACAAGCCCTCTCCTGGCGGGAGAATGGCGTCCTTGCAGGGCAGCTCTGGGGAATCCATTAATTTTGAAAGTTCATAAAGTTCATTTTGTTTATTTAGAAACAATTGGAAATCTGCCGAACCCAATCCATCTGCTCGCTCAATTAACTTAGACTACCTGGACCGACTCGGCCAGGATGAGGCAAAAGAGAAACACACATCCCCACAGACGAAGATTGCTTGCTCGACGTCGCGGCTATCACACGAGATCGAGGACGTGGGGTTTCCTAATTCGAAAAAAACTAAAACTTCACCTTTACGCTTTCAATTATATTCTTCAAAAAAATCACTTCTGAAGAATCCTCACAATGCCTTCGGTGCGGATGGAAAAGAGACGGCCGTTGTGGCTCGGCGCCTATTTGTAGGCCCGGCGTGAGGCAGAAAGCTAGCTTATTCCACGACACAAAACGCAGAGTTTCTTCCGGGCAAGAAGCTAAAAATGGCGTAGCCCACCAAAAAATCCCAGAATTATCGGAAAAATCAATTTCTGCACTTCAAATTCCTTTTCTTCGTTTCCGCTGTGGAATCTTTTTTTTCTTTCCTGGGCCTTTTTTTTTTTTTTTTTTCTGGGGCCTGCGCTCGGGCTCTGCTCGGGGCTTCCACGGCACTGAGGTCAAATAGAATGCTCGTTAACCTGGGGAAGCTAGGGCACAGAGCGCTTTCGCCAGGGCCCCGTAAAACCACCCTCTCCCGTTTCTTTTTTTGAATTAAACAATATAAATAGAGCAGGATTTCCTGCTTTTTTTTCTGGCCCTTTTTTGCCTTTTCCCCCAGCCGTCCCCGTCGCCCTGGCCTCGTCGTCCTGGGTGCACCGTTTTCTGCCTCTGCTCTTCTCTACTCGTCCGGTGCGGGGGAACGGCACCGCCCCAGATCTCAAAGAACCACCACCTTTTCCTAGAACCACCACCGTTCTTCCGCCTGTGGCCTCCAAATATCGAAAAAAACAAGGGTTCCCAAAAAACCACCCGTTCCAGGTTTTCTCCCTTCCCCTTCCGCCACATCTTCCTGCCATAGGGCACCCCCACCTTTTCTCATGATGTCCTTGAAGCCAGAAAAGAAAAAGGACCCGACCCTGAGGCCCTACCGCTGTCCCATGTGTGACAAGGCGTTCCACCGTCTAGAGCACCAGACAAGACATATCCGTACCCACACGGGCGAGAAGCCCCACCTGTGTCTGTTTCCAGGGTGCAATAAGAAGTTTTCGAGATCCGACGAGTTGACCAGACACCTGCGTATCCACACCAACCCGAACTCCAGACGCAACAAAAACCTCAGCAAATCGTCCCTGGCCTCGAGCCCGGAGTTGCAGTTTGCCCTGGTGCCTGTCCAGACCGCCCAGGTTCAGACGCCTCTGTCTCCGCAAAACGGGCAGAAGGAGTCGCCTGTCAAGGCAGATGTCTCGCCAGTAAGCGGCCCACTGAGCCAGCCGGCTCTTCCGAACGGCACCCACGCTTTCCAGGCGCTGCCAAGTGCCCAAAGCGTGTCATCTTCTCAGACCGCCCTGGGCTCTAGTCCTCCAACTTCCCAGCCTGCCAACGGCTCCAGCGCCACCCAGGCAGTGTCTCCGCCCGTGAAAGCCGAAATGGAGCCTCCCAAACCCGACCTTTCCTCGCCCAAAATATCCCCCAAAATCACCCCGGCAAGAATAAGACCCCGTCCAAAACAGCTGCGCTCCACGATGAACATCGACCTTTTGGCCTCCGCCGCCACCGAGGAGCTCAAGTCCTTGGAGAAGTTCTCCTACTCACAGCCTCCCTCCGTGGGCGAGGAAGTGCCGCCCAACTCTCGCTCGCTTCCCTCTCTCACAGACTACTTCAACTCGGGCAAGGTCCCCAAGTTCGGCTTCAACGCATCCGCCTCGTCCAACAGCCTTCAGTACCTCTCCAGCGTGGCTCTTAACGCCGGACCTACCAACAGCAACAGCTACACGACGCTATCCAAGGCGCCCAAATCGCATCTTAATACGCTTCTGGCTCTCCAGAAGATGACCCCGCTCGACAAGTCCCAAGTGCACCAGCCGACGCCTTCGAGAAACCACATCATGGAGGACTCCGACTTGGACTATGTCCAGTCCAGACTCAAGAAGAGCAGGGCCAGTTCTCCCACGGGGAACTTCACCTTGCCCAACTCTCCAGTCCTCGGTCTCTCCACGGCCAACACCCCCATTATCTCCGCCAACAACTCCTCCACCAACTTGTCGTCATTCTTCATGACGCCCGTGATGGGCCACCACAGCAACGTCTCCAACAACTCAACCTCGTCGATTCTTGAGAGACAAACTTCCAACCCGGTAGCCATCAGACAGATGAACACCACGCCTCCGTCGTCCACGGCTCTGGCGTCCGGCGAATCGGGCGAGTCTCCCATGCAAGTGGATCAGCCTTCGGTGACCCATTTGCCGCCATTACGGAGCCTCAAGCTCGACTTGCCGTCGAACTTGTCGATGAAAGAAAGCAAGCCGTTGAGAACGACATATCAGCAGTTTTCATCTGGCTCTTCAGACGAGCTCAAGCGGGTGTTGGAGGAGTAATGTGGGTTTTTAATTATACGGGAATACAGGATGGTAAGGCCATCGCTTGGTTGCATTATAGACTTGTTTCAGGCCCGCCAGGTCCGCTGTACACTAGTGTGCCATACGAACATGACGCAAAGGATGGCTTAATAAAAAAAATTGACTAATGGAATTTTACTTATGGATAACGTTATCAACTGATGTATTTACTTTTGCGCTATGCGCTTTTGCTGCGATGCTATCAAAGCACAATCTCTAATTTCCTCCAACGGCCCAAACCTCGTTTTCATCCTCGAAGCGATCACTGAACAAGGCCTCGTCGTCTCCACCATCCTGTAATCTTTCTCTTTCCACAGTGGCCAATCTAGAAGCAACTCTCTTGGTGTAGTCTCCAATAGATCTAGGCTGGATAGTAGTACCAATAACCGTGGTGATAGGGCCCTTGGAAGCCTCGGCAAACCAGTCGTTGAACTCCTTCATTTCGGCGTCTTCGATCAAGTTGAAAACAGCCAAGTACGCCTTTTCAGCAGCAAGTCTGATAGGAATAATGCCATCTCTCAAACAAGCAAAAACGGCAGGACCGATTTCACTAAGGTGAGGAAGAATAAGCGCCTGGAGCTTGAAACGGGCCACAGTACGCAAAACAACCAATGACAATCTTCTGGAGTCTGGCGAGTTCAGCTCTGGTTTGAGCGCACACTTGCACAACTGGAAAACCAACTTTTTGATAGAAGCCTCGGGAAGTTCAAATGGAGAAGACGCTTTTTCATCGCCAGCCTGTTTAGGAGAAGCCACCTCGCCGTGAAGCAACAAAAGCTTGCCCATGGCAATCACAGCATTGTCGCTGATGTATGGAACAGTGTTGTCGGAGCACTCACCAATAAAGTGCACAATCTCCTCGACCATGCCGGTTTCGAAAATGTGCTTGGGCGAGTCTCTCAAAAACGAGTTGATGGACAAAATGGCAAACTTCATTTCCTCGCTGTCGTGGCGCTTGTTCAAGATCTTCGACAGTAAGATGTTGGAGGCTTCTTCTGTAGACAAGATCTGAGAAAGCGAACCAAGAAGACGGGCATAGGCCACTGCAGACTTGTCGCTGACGGTGTTGATTTCCTCTTCGACCAACGCCATCACGGACGATTTCGAAGCTTCACTCATGTTCTTACCGCCTTTAACCACAACCTGGAACAAGGCCTTCAACATGGCGGTCTTGATACCCTGGTCCTCGGCGTTCTTGGTGCCCTGGACCAATTCGGTGACCAAGGGGTCCACACGGGGCTGGAAACCGATCAAAACGCCCAAAGCGTTGACGGCTCCAAGTCTCAATTTGTCGTTGGAAACGTCGCTCAAGGATCTGACAAACGTTCTCTGGAGCTGGGGAATAAACGGTCTCAAGAACTGCGGAATCTTCTCCAACAAGTTCGTCAAGGCGGTCAAAATCGCCAGCTTGATATCGGAAGAAACCCTTTCTCCAATAACACGGATCAACGGACCGGTGATGGTTGTTGCAAAAGGCTTCAAGTTGGCAGCAGGCGTTCTCAGAATGATCTCGGCTATCGACAAGGCAGACATTTCTCTCTGTTCGGAATTTCCGTACATCAAGCCGTGGGAGAAAATCGGCAACACACAGCTGGGGCCTCTAGGCAAGGCCAAACCAGCCAATTCTTCGCCTCTGACGCCGGCAATCGACAAGGACTGGTGGGCCGGTTTGACCAATTTTTCAAGCATCGACTTGTCCTGGGCCTTGACCAAAGCGCTCAAAGCTTCGAAAGTGCCAGCCACAACCTCAGGCTCCTTATCGCCCAAAGAAAGAATGAACTGGGTGACCATGTCAGGCACGTAGATGGAGTAGTCGAGGTTGGTGTTGGAGAAGAATGGGCCGAGACGCTCGCAAATGGCCGCTCTCTTGTCGGCATCCTGGTGCTTCACCAACGACATCAACTGTTGCATGATTGGATGGACACCTTCGTCGTCCTCGATGGAAAGCAAAATCTTGTCGAAAGAGTCCTTGACCTGTTCCTGCTCCTCTGGAGTTCCGTTCTTTTTGGCGTCGATCACAGCCTGCAACAAGGTGTTGACGATCGAGCCCAAACGAGAGTACAAGGCATGGCCAGCAACAGAGGCAAGCGACGAAAGCGCCTTGACCTTGGAAACGTCGATAGGAGGGCTCAACAAGGTGGGGATCAAAATCGGGAAAATAATGTCCGCCTTGGTCTCCATGATATCCTGCAAAGCCAAAAGAGCGTTTTCGGAGTCCTCCTTGGATTCCAAAAGGTGCAACAAGTTGGGCAAAACCTCGTCGATCACCACCTTGCCCAAGTGGTTCTGGAGAGCCTCGAAAGCCAGAGCAGCGGCTTTTCTGACCTCTGGAGACAGATCCACCAAGGACGCACGCACGATTCTGATGAAAACGTCCTGGTGGTTCTGCAAAGCGTCCTCGGAAGCAGAATTGATCAATTCCGTAAGAGCAATGCAAATGCCCTGTTTGGCGTCGGTATCGCCAGAAACAAGCGATTCCTCCAAGCTGGGCAACAACTGGTTCAAGGCGTTTGCACCCACTCTGCGAACAACCTCTCCAAGCGTAGTGGCAGCGATAACTCTGTGGGTTTCGTCGCTGGAAGCACATCTTCTGACGATAATCTGCGTCAAGCTTGGAATGATCTCCTTCACCGTACGAGGCGTGTTGGCGACCAAGGCCTTCCAGGTATCGATGGCAGCAGCACGAACCACACCTGTAACATCGGAACGACACACGAAAAGAGCAGCCAAAATACGGTCACGACGCTCCTGGCCAAGCACCTCCACGAGGTTACGGTTGACAGAGCTCTGCTCCTCGGTGAGCTCGTTTTTACCGGAAATACCGGTAACCTGGAACAACAAGTCTGCGGTAAGCTCGAGCGAAGAAAGACGGATTCTGTAGGAGGAGTCCGCAAGACCAAGCTCCAACTCGGGAAGCAACAAGTCGATGGCCTTGTTGGCGTAGTTCTTGACAATCAAACGGCCGGCCTTCAAAGCGGTGTCTCTGATTTCCTCGTCGGTGTCTGCCAAACCTGCCAAAATTGGTGGGATGATGCTGCTCAAGTACGGCGCAAACTGGGAGCCGAAACACACTGGCAAGAACAACAATAACGGCAAGAAACCAGCACGAACGTGGGAGTATGGCGAGGAGGCCTGTTTCAAAATGTCCGGAAGCATTTCGTCCAACTTGGCTAGTCCAAGACCACAAATCACCTCCGCAAGCGCCTGGGCAGATCCCAAACGGTCGCCTGTCTTGGTCTGGTCCTTCAAGGTCTCCACAAGACGAGGAATCAAATCTGGGAACTGCTCCTCTCCTAGCTTCTCCACCAAAGAACCCAAGGCTCTGGCACCGGTGGATCTGGTAGCAGGAACCGGGTCGACCATGGCGATCTCCAACTCGGCCACAAGGCTGTTCAAGTATGGAAGAAGGTCCTTGCTGTCGACCAAAATCGCCATGTTTCCGACAATCTGGCACGACTTCTTCTTGGTGGACGCAGAACGGTCCTTCATGCCTCGGTGAATAACATGAATAATGAGTGCAAGAGAAGGTCCATCAATGTAATGCACAAATTGGGTCTTGATCAACTTGTCGAGAGCCAGGTCGGTGTACTTGGTAGGATCGCCAATGGCGTTGATCAAATCGGGCACAATGGCCTGGATCTCGGGGTTTCTGATCACCTCTCCGAAACGCTTCAACGCCTGCTCGGCGGCTTTTCTGACCTCCTTGTGGGAATCGTTCAAAACAGCCACAATTTCAGGCACAATTGTCGATAACGATGCAGACAATTGGGTGGGATCAAGGTACGCCATGGAACCAAGCAACTCCACAGAGCCTTTTTTGGTTCTCCATGCAATGTCGTCCATGTGGGAAATGGTAAGCGGAATCATCTTCTTGACACCGTAACTGGTGGAACTCTTCATGATCTGTCTTGCAGCCATGTCGGTAGCTTCACGAACAGCAGCACTAGAATCACCCAAAGATTTCAAAATAATAGGAAGAGCTTCAATAACATATGGCTCGAATCTGGCACCCAAGCTCTGCGACAAACAGTCCAATGCAAAAGAAACACCTTCTCTCATACGCTCACCCTTCTTGTCTTCGGCAGCAGACATGATGTTTCTCATGACGTCGTTGCTGAACAAGGAGCGGATTCCAGCACCTTTCACCAAACCAGCAATACCGTACGCTGCACCTTGTCTGATAGCGAGGTTTTGACCTCTCCAGAGCTTCTCAAAAAGCGTATCAAGGTGGTCTTGCAATTTGGGCTCGATCGACTTGACAAGCGGAGCAATACACTCAGAAACAGCGTACTGGACGTCCTCGGAAGGAGTGTCCAAAGTAGAAAGAAGCCTCTCCACAATGATACGCAAACGGTCGTCCAGCGAATCGAGGTATCTGCCAAGAGTACCGTAAAGAATAATGACGCTTTCTTTGATACGGTCCTGTTTCTTGGAACCTTCGTCCTTCTGGGAAAGACACTTCTCGAAAATCGGAATCAACAGCTCAACGTGGGTACGTCCGTGGTGTTCAAGAACAGCCACACCGGCTTCAAGAAGCTCCTGTCCAACGAGACTCTCCTTGTCACCCAAAGTTTCTCTGTCGACCAAAAAGAAGAACAATTTTTCAACAGACTCCTTGGACTCAAACATCGGTGCCAATTCCTTCAAGGCCAATGCAACGGTCGATCTGTCCTCCCAAGCATCCTTCTGGCTTGCATGGTTGGTGATTGGAAGACCGAACCTGTCAAGAGGTGGTGGAGGTGGATTTTCCGTTTCATAGAACAAGGTGATCAACAACTCCAAGGCGGTATCGAAAACATCGGAAACCTTGGGTTTCAAAAACGCAACAGCAGAAGCAGTGGCCTTGGCGACCGTCAAACGCAATCCAGCGTCCTCGTGACCAAAGAACTTCAAAAGTCTGTTCACAGCATCGTCCACAAGCTCAAACTTGTTATCGTCCCAGATGGTGGCAGCCAATTCAGCCACAGCAGCGTCATTATCGTGAGTAGCGATCCAAAGCTCATTAGAATAACTCAAATCGTCGCTCAAGTCGAATTCAGAATCGATGCCTTGCAAAATGGCGTGCTTGACAAAAACATCCGGGGTGATGATGCTGCTCAAAAGAAGGTCGATGTCAGCTTTCGAAAGCGAGATCGAAATGTGCTGGCAGATGGTCAAGAAACACTCCTTGGCCAATTTGGCCTTGGTGGGGATCTTCATCAACGAAAGCAAGGAGTTCAAAATGGTGTCTCTTGTGATGGTCTCGTCGCTGAAACACTGCGCCAAGGTGGAGATGATATCGACAGTCAAAAGAAGCTGTTCCTCCTGAGGGTCCTCTTCCTCGAACTCGGATGTAACGGTACGTTTTTTGGAATTCTTAAGAGCCAAATCACGGCCTTGGACGAGGATCTGGGTAAGCATGGGCAAAACGTAAATGAAGGAGGTTTTGTCAAACCAGTCGTCGGCCAAAATCTTGATTCTGAACAACACCTTACTCAACAACTCAATCAAGGGCAACTCTAAGTAGTTTTCAGGAATGCCCTGGACGTCGTGAACTCTCAAAACAGCCACACCGGTCATTTCCTTCAAAACGCCGAGTCTGTTGTTGATCAACCTGGACCCGTCAATAAATACTTTGATGGCGAAATCGCCAAAAATGTCAACCGCCAAGGGATGCTTGACAACGCTCAAAATGCCGTTGACAGCGTTCAAGTACCAGCGAGTACCGCCAGACGTCAAAACGTCAGAACCACTCGTGAGCTCTTGAACAATGTGGAGTGCTCTAGTGTAGATACGAACCCTGGCCTCGACGTCCTTGCGGATTTCCAGCTCTTTAGCCAACTGCTCCTTGACAAGCTGCTGTTCTTCTCTGGTGAGCTTTTTGGCACCTTTCTTCTGGGCAAGCTCTTTCTTGAGGTTCTCCTCCCATTTTCTTGTTTCGTAGTCCTTGCTGTTTTTGTCGGCTGGTTTTTGCTTGCCGTCGTTCAAGACATCCACAACAACCTCGCCCTCCTCTGCTTTCCAGATCTTGATAGCAGTAGCATCGTACTCATCTAGAGCAGCCGTATCCAAATCGGTTTCAAGAATATCGGCGATCTTTGGCGCCGTCACCTCAGGGTTGACGAATCCAACAGTGACAAAGGCCTTCTTTGCAGCATTAAAAATATCTCCGCCAATGTGAGCAGTAGAAAGGGTATTAAGAAGGTGGTCGAGGATCTCGTCAGCGTGGGATTCCACCACACGGCCAGGATCAAGAGAAGCTCTCAAGGCGACTCCGATCCACTGTTCCTTGACTGGGATTCTGGGGTGGTGTGCGGCAATTATGACTTGGATGAGGTTCTTGATCGACAAATCGGGGTTGATCTGTTGGACCAAAACGTTGAGAACCTGGGCGAGGTGCTTCAAATCGAGGTTTAATTCGGCGACGTCTTGAGAGCTTTCCTCGGCAGATTTCAAGGTTTCCTGAAGAGCAGGAATGACAATGTCACTGGCTTTCTCGCCGCTCTGGTTCATCAAAGCACGGAGACTCTCCAAGGCCTCGATACGAACGTCAAAAGCCACATTGGCCGAAATGGCAAAGAAAAGAAGCGCAGAGCCAAACTTCACGTTCTTCTCTTCGGTGTGCTCAAAAGACGCTATAAGTGCACGAAGAGCCCATTTCTGTTCGGCGCCCTTGAGCTTCGCAAGCACCTTGGGGCTCACGAGAATGGAAAAGCTGTCGGAGGAATCTTCAAGCGGTTTCGTGAAAAGTTGCTTTGTGTCAAGCTGGATCTGGTCCTTGAATCGACGACTGATCGCTATAGCGACGTATGCACAGGCTATGCCCTTGTTGGAAACGGTCAAAAGCGGCGACAGAACAGCCTCCTGGAGCGATTTGGTCAAATCCGGGAGAAGAGACTCGAAAAACTGCACCACGGCTTCGTTCTCCTCCTGGTCTCTATAAAGAGCGTCTCCCAAGGAAACCGCCCAGATCTTCCTCAAATTAAGCTTGGGACTGGCCAAGCCTGTTTTGATCTGGGCCAGCACCTTCTCTGACGGATTCTGCTTGTTGCGCAAGGCAAAGACGTAGTTTCCAAGCAAAACGGTGTTCAAAGCGGAGAGAATGTTCTCGTTCAGCTCTTTTGCAACCAACGGAAGAAGCGCATCGAAAAGCTTCCCGTTTTGCTCCTCGGGCACACGCAAATCGCCCAAGCTCTTTGCAAAAAGCACCTTGGCCTCGGCGTTGGTGGTGCCCTTGAATGCCTTGATCACTTCGTCGACGATTTTTCCAGAATCAGCAGCGGAGACATTAGGCAAGGCGTTTTTGAAAATCAACGACAACGCCTCGGCGGCTTTATCTCTGACGTGCTCCTTTGTGGATTTCACGCCGCTGAGTGTGTGGCCTAAAAGCTTGGAAGATGCAAAAACGGTACTCAAGTCGGTAGCTTCTGTGGGTGTGGAAAAGAGAGGCTCAACGAGGTGACAGAAACCGATTTCCGACGAACGAAGAATGGCTTTTTCGAGATTAGGGAGGATTTTCTGCGCAAAAACGTCCGCTGAGAGGATCTCTCCAATGTACCATTTGGTGAAGTAGGCGATGGAAAACGACTGAGGAGCCGTTTTCGCCAAAAGCACCTTTTCCAGGAAAAAGTCCACCACCTTGCCGCTGGCCAGCGATTCCTTCAAGCGTGCTATGTAAGCAGGATGGGTCGGCTGGAGGTCGTGGACGGCTTCGGCTAAAACAGCCAAGTATAGCGTAGCAGCAGAAGGGTCCATCGGGTCCAGAATCACCTTCTGGGCGAGATCCTCCACCAAAGCCGGCTCCTTCAGCAAAAGCACCTTGATCAACGTATTCTTCGACTGCGCAAGCGCCGAATCAAGCACTCTTTTCGTGTGTGTGCCCTTTCTTTGCACGCCAGCAATACTACCCAAAAGAACGGCCTGGGTCGACGCCAAAGCGGTCAATTCGGCTCCTGAAGCTTTCAGCTCCACGCCAACAAGCATGCACGTCCACGCCAACAAGGACACAAGGTCCGTCAAGGCCAAATTGCCCAGTTTTCCCGCAACATTGGATATAAACTTGTGGGAGGCCTTGGCGTACGCAGAATCGACGTCTGCCAACAATTCAAGCATCTCCGTGGCCGCCGTCCGCAGCGCCGCGTCCTGGTAGTAGTTGTAGCTCTTGAGGACCAGCGTGGCCAAAGATTGAAGAAGGCTCTTGTCTTCAAGAAGTCCACTGTCCTTGTCTTTTAGAAGGCGAGAAACGAGTCTGAGGGCCGGAAGCCTTCTGCTCGTGAGGGAGTCGGCGAGAATGACCGGGCCGTTTTCCCGGAGATCGTCCAAACCGACGGGGTTTTGTGCCTGTGGAACGGCCATGGATGAAGAAGTGGTTTTGAGGTGAAAAATTGAGGTGAGAGTTTCACACACACCGGGGTGGACAACAGCAGGGAAAGAAGATGTTTTTAAAAAAGGTTTTCTACTGGCTTAAAAAGATCAGTTTTTCATTATTTTTGCCATTTGGGCTAGGGCCCCGGTGGTGATGGAGGTTACCCGCCCCAGGCCCTGGTATATAGATGCGAAAATCTGCTGCTTTTCTTCTCCATCAACTATAACAGTCGATGAAGATAGGCTACCTCCGTTGCAGCAATGCGGCTCGCCGCTACTCGATACCGGGCGCTGTGGACACCGTCACGGCCACTCACCACACACAAAGTGACGTATGGTCAGAGGCTGTTTTGATATGAGCCACTGGGTTTCCTGGTGCGTGTAAGACTGGATTTGTAGAAGGTGGGGTGGTGACAAAGGTGATTTAAGGTTTTCATTTAACCCTCTGTCATTATGCTGCTGTCATTATGCTGCTGTCGAGATTGCAATGCTGACCGCTTGGTTGGAGTGCTCTAGTACTTCAGTGGTGTTCTGCATTACTTGAAGTCACCTGGGGGTGTGAACCTCGAGAAAGGTGTCGTATGACTGCTTTTGGCGAGTTCTTTGGTGAGACTTTCGAAAGTGGTTCCCACATCTTGCAATTCTCTCGAAGCAGAAACGCTGTTTTGTGGTGGTCTTTGAGATCAAGACAAGGGCTCCTTATGTGGGAATTTTCGTGATCACGGGTACTTTAGCGTGGCTCTTTTGGAACTATCCTGATCAAGAATTGCCCGTTATATTCCAAAAGCCTCGGGAAAATTGCATTTTTTCAACAGATGTATCTGAACAGTCTCATCTAATTCAGAGCATATCGTTAAGGAGCCATCGTTTAGATTTTCACACCTCCAATTATTTCTCATTCCCTCAAATAAGCCAAACCAGGGGCCTAAAACTCAATCTGAAATTCACTGATGATATATTTATTTCATTGATTGGCTGCTATTGGTACACCTTAGTATACCTCGAGGTTAGGAAGATGAGGAAGTAGTTCTGACAAATTCACCACCTGAACCTATTTTCTCCGTAAACAACTCCTTTGAAACCTTTTCCTCAAAAACCCAAAAACAAGAAAAATCATAAAATACAACCACCAATACGTCTATCTCCATGCCACTTATCTGTAGACACCCGTGCACCACACACCATATATCAACCAGACCTCAGTACACTAAGAAACCAACATGTTGGTAGAAGAGGTCCCCAAACAAAACGATAAAAACAGCCTGACTATATATTTCCTGTCGCTGATCAACCTACTGGCACGTCCTCCAGCAAAACACTACGATCCCAACGCTGCCGAGGATGTAAACAGAAACTCAAAGAACCGTCCAAAAGTGAACTACAACTTGACAGATCTTCTAAATGCTCAAACACAGGCAAACTACAGCAACGGAACGATCACCAGTGGAAACTTCAAATCGCTGCAGCAGCTTCAACTCGAGAAACTCATTGTGAAAAGGTTGGGTGAGCTTTCCAAGGAGACTCCAAACTCCAACTTCGAGATTCCAAAAACTTTTGGATACACAAGTATACACACGGGGCCCTCGGGAGGCAAGAAGGTCCGCTTGGGTAATACTCCCTCGACCAAGAAGATTCTCGCCGCCAGGAGAAACTTGAACTCGTACTTTGAGGAGGAGAAGAACCTTATATCGATCAACACGATTCTCGGGGTGAATTTCTCCTTTGCCGAACAGAACGATGAGCTACTACAGGGAAGTTCGAAGAAAAGACGCGTGGGCGAGAGGGTAATCAAGCCAAAAGCCAAGATCTGTTGTATCTGTGGTAATTTGCTGGGATACTCGAGGTGCAGTGATTGTGGATTATATTCGTGCAGCGTGCGGTGTATCAGGCTTCACCACGAGTCGAGGTGTCACTAACGAGGGCTACGGGTTAGATGGAAGTCTGCAATTGTTGGCTTGTAGCGGATGAAAGGGCAAGTATAGGTCAGAAATGGCCTTCGTTCACCGGCTGAATCCAGTCTGGTTTGAGCCAGAACAAGAGGTCGAACCAAAAGACTCCGCAGAAGCACGGAAGTAGCAGGTTCTGGCCAAATGCATCTAGAAGGTACTTGTTGCCCAATTTCACTCGGGGCAGAAGTGAGAGCCCATAAAACCATACCAAAAAGTGGAGGTGAGGAACGTTCCACAATGCAAGGCGTCCCAAGGCGATCAAAGTTGTTTGCTTGAATAGAACGGTTAATAGCGAGAGAGCAGTGCCCATGAAAGTCACTCCTGCCTTACATAATGCAAACCGTACTAAGATGAGTCCTGACCAGAAGAACAGACCGAGTAAGGCAGAATTCTTGACTCCAAACTTGTTGCTGATTCTCCAACTGACCAATGAAAAAAGAAACATTCCTAGCATCCTGAGTTCGTCTCTGTCCTTGGTGCCATAGAACGGCTGCTCATTATCTGTCAATACTAGGAGAAACAGAACCGGCAACAACGCACACACCGTATAATGCACAAATCGCAGGAGTTTGGAAGCGTTTTTATAGAATGGTGGCACAAACTGTGCGGTTTTCTTCTCGTTGATCAGACCATCCATGAAGAAAGAGTTGTTGATGTTTAAACGGTACTGCAGCGATAAGCGAGCATGTCAAAAGACGTCATATTTGAGACTTGGTATCAATGGGTTCAGAAGTATTTTTTGCTTACTTTTTTGAAATTGAAAGTGAGGAGAGAGGATTGCGTTTCTAGGATTTGTGAATGCTGACAATGGGAGCGCAATGTGGCAGTTCTGTTTAACCTCAATTGGGGCATGAGTTGCAACCATACAATGCAGTGTGTGCCCATCTCCACATTATCTAATATTTATCAATCATCATGTGTCAATTACATGCAATTGATTGAGTGGCAGGCTACTGACCCGACTGATTGTCTTTAAGGTGAGAACCCATAGATGGTCTCTGCAGATTCAAGCTTCTACTCATCTTTGACCCATTACAATTGGAGCAACACCGGCCGTTTTCAGATCAGGAGATATCTTTTGTTCACTTAGCTATCTGTGCCATCATTCGAAGATCATTGATCAATCAACCAACCCGCCACAAATGCTTCTACAACTGTCACATTTTCCCCAGCCGTTGTGCCAAGCCTAGAGAAGCCCAGGTTGACGATCCCTGTGGCTTCAAACCGAAGCCTTTCCGGCACAAGCTACACCAAAGGGTTGCTTTCATATGAAAAGAGGTATCTGGTCAAAGACATCACCACTTTCCCAATTCACGGACTTTACCTCCGGAAAGTATCCAGATTTATGCTGAGAGTGGGGAACCCCGTCGTGTGACGAGGGTGTAAATCTGGATCACGGTTGATCGACGTTGGGATCGACAAGTGTACGAGGACCATCTGACGACAGCGGGGAAGTAGCCGAGGCATTAGCCCGAGAGAGAGAGTTTTGGAAAAGTGGGGAGGTGGTGGTATCTTGGTTGTTGAGGGTACCCTAGTTGTTGAGGTGGTGGAGAATGTTTGCCAAATTTGAAGACACAGGTTTTGGTGGATGTTTTTGAACAAACTGCTATTTGCCTTGACTGGCATTGTGTTGCCTTGTTGCCTTTCAAACTGCATTTTCCAGGTGAGCATCGGTTTGCGCTAATTTGCAGCCAGCGGTGACTGTGACTCCAGGTGACTTCCCAGATTGCCCCACCTGGACCGGAATCACCAAAATGACGTATTCCACGCCAAAGCGCTCTATTTATGGAATGGCCCAACAACGAAAGCCGCCGACCTTGAACACCACCCAATTCCGCTCCGAGCGTCTCCGAGTGATTTCCTGAGTGATATTCGTGATATTTCCCGAGTGACTTCCCGAGTGATATTCCATTTCCGTGGCTGAAATGCCGCATACTAACCGTTTGACGAACATCGATTCTACAGAAGCTCTAATCCAAATCAAAGGCCTGCTCCTACACTGATTGTCTATCGGACCGCAGCGGCGCCGCTGGTCCCGCATATATTACCAATTTTATCGTGAGTCGTGAAATAAATAAAAGCTAGTCGCCGTGCTTGAAGCAGCAGCGCTTGCCATAGCGGCACAGACCGTATTTGGCCCAGTTTGCACACGGCTTCAGGCGCCAGTTGGCAGGCCGTTCCACCGTTTTCAAGTCCTCCTGGCCATGGGCAAATTGACACTTGTTCCCATACGGACACACACCCATCTTCATATACGAGACACACAACTCTGTCTTGTAGAGCTGGGTGTTGATGTGTTTCTGGCGAGGTGAAGCCGACTTCCTGTCGTCCGACTTGACCGAGGACGATTTCGACTCCTTCAGTAGACTGGGCACCTGCTCTTGTCTGAAGCTACGGGGTTCTCTTTCTCTGTTTCTGGTGTCTTGTCTCTCGAGGTTTTCTTCCGTTAAAGGCGCCAATAGAGAGTGGGGAAGGAGCAGCTGGGCGTACTCCAAGGAGGCGTCTCTCATCATCAGCGTTTGCCAATTGGGCTCGTTCCATGTGGAGTAGGAAACAGGGACGGGGTTTTTGGGAGGTTCCAGCCATAAGTCAGGCAAGAGGTCTTCAGAGTCTGAGGCCAGCGGGTCCAGGAGGGCCTGGCCTGTGTATGTTTGTTTTTTGTGGTCCGGAAGCGGGCCGAACTGGAAGTGACTTTGGAAGGTTGTCATGGAAAAAATGGGTTTGGACGGTGACGGCGTGTGGAAATGGGTGCAAAATATATAGATGGCTGTATGCACCAAGTGAGGAGTCCTGAACAAAGAGAGGAGAAGGCCTGAGTTAATCCGAGGGGAAGCACCGGGGGGGAAGGTAGGCTATGGACGAGGGGAGGCCTTTTATGTATTAGTGGTCGGGGGGTGAAATCCGGGGGTGGAAGGACGAGGTGGAGAAAATGGGGTGGGTCTGAGGCTGGGGGAACGATGGGGTTTAATAGTAAGGCCATGCGCAGAAATAATCCGGCGAGTCGGATATGAATGCGATTCGGGGAAGTGGCGCCACCGAGGGGACGCTGTGGGTGCGCTGAGTGTGTTCCGGGGGTGCGACCGGGGGCTCCACCGAGGGCATCGCCGAGGTGGGGAGAAGGTCTCCACCTGATGCGCACTCGCCTTGCGAAGAACTGAAAGATAGTGGTCTCCTGCACATATGCAAAATCACCCAACCGCTGCCCATTTCCGGCGCCGGGAAATCACCATACACAGCCTGCGAGTTCCGAGGGCCACCGGTGGCCGCCCGAGGGTCCCCTGCCCAGTTCCGAGGGTCGCTAGCCCAACCCCCGGTGACAAATCGCCCACCGACGTATTTTTTCAATTCCTTCCACTCCCCACCCGAGGGCATCGCCGGACACCGGCCCACCCTCGTCCACCAAATGCCCACCCTCGGCAAACCCTGCCCCTAAACCCTTACCCCTCCAGCACCTACAGAGCCAAATACACTTTCTACTACATCTTAAAAAAACTTCCAGTTTCACACCGTCTCCGCTTCCCCCCTCTCTATTCCCCTCTGCGCAGCCACCGTTGACACCTGCCTCATTGACTGCGACTTGTTTCTCCTCCATTCACCTCAGCATTCTCCACCCCTATCACCAAACAATACAAAAAACCTTCCATTGAAAATTACCGTCTCTAAAAACTCCATCTTGGTTGCGGCACCGGGGGTAATGCCCGGCGGCTGGCGATTGGCTGGGTATTCCACTGTTCTTGTGTTCCGACTTCTTCCGGACTTTTTCCGGCTTCTCTCACCGCCCCAATCCACCTCACCCCGCGGACTCCGCAGCCCAACTTTGGAAAATGACGTTTTCTCGCTGTAGCCTGCCTCCATCGATGTTGCATTTCCAGGCCAACGGTATAGAATCTGATATTGAGTTTTGATAGAATCTTGATAAATCGTGATAAATATTGATAAATCTGTATGGTAAAAGGCTATACTAGGCGTATTGTAAGCAACGGGGTCCGGCTTTGTGTGCTTTGTGTTGCTCGTTTATTTCTTGCTGCTGCGTCTGTGCATTGAATTAGACTTCCACGCTCAAGGCGAGGAATTTTTCGTAGCCCAGCAAACCGTTCGCTTGCTCGACCGAATCTGACCCCGGAACTGCCTGCGTATTTGGCTCTGCCGACTCCGAATTCGCTTTCCCGATACTGAGTTTTCTGCCGTTTGGCTATCTCCAAGCCACCAGGCTTTGCCAGAAGCCAGGGTCCCCAATGCTAGAGAAACCACCATCTTCAACAGCTTTCTTCATTATCGATTCTACTTCATATTCTACTTCATATTTACTGCCATTTTTCCTAATTCATGGTTCATTAACGGTTGGTGGGTTTGCACCCACGCGGCACCGGCGTTAGGCACCAGGTCTCTCAACAAAATAAGATCCCGCTAGACCCCACCTTGCAGCGCCGTTTTCCATCTCCCCTAACTCCTTTCCACCTCTTTCTCCTATTGGACCAATATTGAAAAAGCATGAAAAAGTAAAATTCGTAAAATAGAGAACGAAAACGTAAGGGAAAGCCTTCACTGGTTATCTCAAAGATCTGCCGCTTTCACATGCCATTGTGGACCCTCGATTGTCTGATTTCTGACATGTCAAGCCACTAGTGGCCGGATCCTGGTGCCATGGAAAAACGTCGTTTCCCTGACCACATAGGCTGATTCGCAGAATCGGGTGATCCGCCGCCCTCGGATCTCGCCAACCTCCCCCAGCTTCCTTGCTTTCATGTGCTGGTCGGCCAGTGGGTTTCCCCTCCATCACGAGATTTGCTCCACGGCTCCATGGAAGAATTTAGACTGGAGGGCTGGCGATTTGCCTTTTGACATGCGATCGGACGACTGGATCTGGGATCGGCACCGTGGCGGTCTTGGCTGGGTGGCAGTAAAGTAAAAGTAGATCTCGTGTGGGTGGGAGCCTTGGGTGGCTTTGTGCCTGGTGGGTATTGATGTAGATGGGGTATGGTGTTAAGGAAGCGCCTGGGTTAATGGTAGAATAAGATTGTTGGCTATAGATAATGAGCTAGTGATGGACATGGTGATTCTGACTATGGCTTAATGGCTTACGGTGACGTAGTGACCTACGAAGGTGGCACTGACTGGCAGTGTGGAATAGAATTAACACAGAAAACTATTTGGGAATTTGGTTTAGCAGGAGTTCGACTACCTTTGGGTGAGTTGGGGATCTCCATGAATGGGTGCCTCAGTTGTAAGGCCATTTCTTCTTTCGAGGAATGAAGCATGTAGGTGAGTGGTTGGTGGTGAAGCGTTGCATGAACTGGCTATGAAACGGTTTACTCTCTGGGATCTGGAGTCTGGGATTTTAAGGAGAGTACCTAGGGAGACGGTGTGATTCATGGTCAACTTCTTGGTAAATTGAGCTTAGTCTTCACGATGACATTATAACTAGAGGTATTCACAATCCTCAAGTTGGGAAATTTGATTCCAGATATTTATTCCCAACTTTAGATTGGATAATCATGCAAAGGAGCAACACTGTCAGGCTGGATAATGTTGTGCTGAAATGGATATTTCAGACCCTGAGTAGTCTGTAGTACCTCTTCCTGGTTGGACATTTCAGTACTAAGCTGTCGATTCCTTTGAATATAACAATACACACACACTAGGCTGGATATTGGTCTCTGTGGCTGTCAGTAGCAGTGAATTGCAAAAATAAAGGTTTTCATCATTTGGAAGTCTTTGCAACCTTCAATGATCATCTGTCCTATTTCTGAAGGAAGAGAAGAATATGCTAGACTACATCCAGAGACGATTGGTGACCAAACAAACCTCCAAGGTTATAATGGAGATGCTAATTAAGGCGAAGCTAATCGACTTTTTCAATAAAAAAAAAATTAGATGGATTGTGAATATCAAAGTACACATCGTACTCTCTGCTGCATGGTGCGCTGCAGAACTTGCCACACACTTATGTACTGTAACATCTCCCACTCTACAACAAAATTCATTTCTTAGACGTAGCTTTGAATTTTTGCAGTGCCACTTACTGATACTCCGAAAAAGATATGAATTGTTGAATGTGATGGTCCTTATCAGGCACCCTAGAACACACAGAATGGATACAGACAATCACACCTACCGCAAACTTCTGTACCACCCTCTCTTCCAATTCAATATTAACCCTCTTCCTCTTAGAAGTATCTTGAAATTCCTTCAGCTTATTAAATTTCCATCTCCAGCATCACCAAAGTCGCCACCCATGCGTCTCATACTCAACCACCTTTTTCGCAGCCATTTCAGTGCCACCAACTCTTCAACAACCCACATTCCAAATCCACAAACCATCATTCCACCAAAATACCCTTACCCATTCCTCCCGAAATCCCAAAAAGCATCTTTCTTTTTTTTTTTTTTTCAATCCACAGAAAATCAAATCCCACCCCCCACCACATCGCACGCGCATATCAAATATCAAACATCGCGTAAACACAACCCACAACCATGGCGATTTTAAACAACCTCAAGGAGCTACGAACGTGGGTAGACGCGTCGCAGCCGCAGATGCCGCCACTGTGGCATGTCCAGATTCTAGAACGCCAGGGACTGGAAAATCGAAGAGATGGCGCTTTCAAAATGCCCTTCCAGGCTCTACCGAGAGGTTCTCAAGGAGCTAGTCGGGTTGAAAGCAACGGAAACTCACAAAATGGGACTGTTTTGCCAAAAGAGAAGACAAACTTTCAGACCATTCCAGATTCCAGACCAAATCTACCGAAAGCAGCATCTACAACCAACAGCCTCCAAACATCCACATCTTATGGCCTACAATCCAGAAACAACGATCCAGCACCTGGCCCACTTATGGCCTCCACCCAGCTCAACCAGCTTGACGATTTGTCCGATTTCAGCGATTCTGAGCTGCTCAAACTTATAGATACAAAGGCACTCCCGCCTCTTAAGGTGAAACCACAGGCTACGCTAGATCAACTACCGAGAGCGCAGCCGAAACCCGTCCAGCCGGAGCCGGTGAAGCTTAAGGCGGTGTCCAAGCCCGATAACGACGTCGGAAAGCTCCAGGCGTATATACGGCTCTGTGAGGAAAAGATCAACTTGTTGGTGAAGAGGCACTCGGTCAACGAGAGCACATCGCTTTCGCTCGACGCCAAAAACCAGTGGGTCTCCAAAAACTTTGCAAACAAATTCAGCGCCCTAGATGCCCAACAACTGCGTATGAGGGCGGGTTTCACGTTTCTTGACCCGCCTCCGAACGAAGACGACTTGTCGAAGCTTTCCAGCTTTTCTGAGGCACCTCAACCAAACCTCGGCCTTCCTTCCAGCATCCGCGTCGACTCGCCAGTGCAATCGTCACAGCCGCTTCCAAGAGCTGAAAATCATGTCCAGATTCCCTTTTCGCCTGAACCAGAGCCTCAAAGACAGCCAGAGCCTCAAAGACAACCAGAGGTGCCTACTTCACCGTTCAATTTCTCGCCATTCTCGCCTACGCAAAGAGCCGCCCCTCAGGAAAACGAGTTCGAAAAGAACAAGGAGGAGGCACGCCAGATCATCATGGAAACTCGTCGGCGAAAGGAAAATGGTGAACCTCCGCGCCAGTCCATGTTCGTGGATGAAGACGACATGGAGGACGATTTTGGTGAAGAGTACATGGACGGTTTGAGATCCTCTCAGGCTGATGACAGAGACACCGATCTCAGTGGCTTCATTGCTGTTGATGACGTTGAGTCAATCGACGACACCTATGTTAGTCCTCGAGCTACGCAGGCCGATTCAGACCAGGACGAAAGCGAGATCGAGGACAGTGCTCCACGCCTGCCTGAAGAAAACGATATGGACGACGAACTAGCAAACATCAAGTTGTCTCAAGACGTTGCTGAAAGATATGGTCTCAAGTACAACACACAGCCGGGAGAGAAAACCGATGAGGACAATCAGATTGACTTAGTTGAGGTTAGCGACGAAGAGGAGGAAGCCAATCCCATGGACTTCACCACGCAGCTCAACGAGGCTCGTGACGAAATTGTCGAAATTCCATCGGAAGATGACATGGATGATGAAGATATGGCAGCGCTCAACGAGTTATCTCATACCAGAATCAAGGTGGAGCCCAATCAGGTCGTCATTAGTGATGAGGATTTCAGTGATGATGACGACGAGTTGCTTCAGCTTTCCAAATCTGTCGGAAAGCTGAGCCAATCTGAGAGAACAGTGCTTCCTGGTTCCGAAAAGTTCATCAACGAAGTCTACGATGTTTTGGAGAAAACCTTCAAACTCAGAAGCTTCCGTCCCAACCAGTTGGAGGCTGTTTGCTCGACTCTTAACGGCAAAGATGTCTTCGTATTGATCCCGACTGGAGGTGGTAAGTCCCTTTGTTATCAGCTTCCAGCACTTGTGAGAAATGGTAAAACAAAGGGCACTACGCTTGTTATTTCACCATTGATCTCTTTGATGCAAGATCAGGTCCAGCATTTGCTTGACAAAAACATTCGTGCTGGAATGATCAGCTCGAAGGGCTCGAGTGAAGAGAGGAATGCCACTTTCAAGTCTCTCACCTCTGGTCAGCTCGATCTCGTTTACTTGTCGCCCGAAATGGTCAATAACTCCGTACGTGTGCAAAAAGTACTCACCAAGCTCTACGAAAACGATATGCTTGCTAGAGTCGTGGTTGATGAGGCTCATTGTGTCAGTTCCTGGGGACATGACTTCAGACCTGACTACAAAGGCATGAGTATGTTCAAGCAGCAGTACCCTACAGTTCCTGTGATGGCGCTTACAGCGACTGCCAACGAAAAGGTGAGACTAGACATTGTCCACCATCTCCGAATGTCTAATCCCGTTTTGCTTAAACAAAGTTTCAACAGAACGAATCTATTCTATGAGGTGAAGAGCAAACCATCCAACATCTACGAGTGGATTCGAGACTACATTATGCAAAACAGACGGGGACAGACAGGAATTATTTATTGTCACTCCAAGCAGTCTTGTGAGACTACTTCGCAGAAACTTAACGAATATGGAATACGCTCGATGTTCTACCATGCTGGCATGGACCCCAATGAGAGATTCGACGTACAAACAAAGTGGCAGCACGATGAGTTGCAATTGATTTGCGCTACAATTGCCTTTGGAATGGGTATTGATAAGCCGGATGTTCGATTTGTCATTCACATGTATATTCCACGTTCCTTAGAGGGTTACTACCAGGAGACAGGTCGTGCTGGAAGAGATGGTGAAGAGAGTGAATGTATCATGTTCTATTCATATAAAGACGCTCGAAGTCTTCAAAGTTTGATTCAGAGAGACGACAAGCTTGAAGAGGAAGCTAGGGAATCGCACTTATCAAAATTGAAGCAGGTTGTTCAATATTGCGAGAACAAGTCAGATTGCCGCAGAAAGCAGGTGTTGCATTTCTTCAATGAGGAGTTTGATCCGCAGAAGTGCAACAAGAAGTGTGATAATTGCTGCAGTGACACTGTGGCCGTCATGAAAGATGTTACAGAACACTGCCAAAATATCGTCAAGCTCGTTCAAGAGATTCAGCTGGACAAGGTTACGACAATCCACTGTCAAGACGTCTACAGAGGCTCGAGAAGTGGAAAGATTTTGAAAATGGGCCACCACGAAAGTCAGTATCATGGGCTCGGAAACGGGCTTGATAGAGGTGCAATTGAGAGAATCTTCTTCCACTTGCAAAGCGAAGGTTGTCTTTTGGAGTACCAGGTTATGAAAGGTGGTTTTGCCTCTTCATATGTCAAGCTTGGGCCTAATGCGAGACCCTTGATGAATGGATCGAAGCGGATCAAGCTTAGTTTCGCACAAGCAGACTCGGGAAAGAAGGGTGAAAGGACCAGGCTCGTTGCATCCGGTAATGGCAATGGTCTCAACACTTTCCGTTACCAAGATTCATTCGTAAGTGCCCGTGAGATGAGAAATCAAGAGCAGGAAAAAGAGAATCTCTACCAGGCTTCCAAAACGAAGATCACGCTTCCAAGGCAGACATTCAACGGTCAGATCAACGCCAACAACGAAGATGCAGTGGAGCGGGCTTTTGGCGAGCTTCGGAAAATCCGTCATCAGAAGCTGCAAGAGCTTCGGTTTGCCAGGCCAAACTACCTTCTCGGGGACGACGCGCTCAAGGAAATGGCTATCAAGCTTCCTACAAACGCCCGGGACTTTGGCAAACTTGATAACATAAGCAAAGACCAAGCGCCGTATTTCCAGTATTTCAAAAAGACTTTGGGCGCCTTGGCAAGAGAACGGAAAAAGGCCTCCCCAGATTACCCCTCCCAGAGTACACAAGGAAACAGCACAATCAGTGAGCACACATCACAGTATTTTCCGCCTACTCAGAAAAAGCGGTCTCAATCACATAAGGGTCCATCCCCGAAGAGGCACAAAACAGGGAGAGGTGGTTCCAAGAGTCAGGGACACAAGAAGAATAACAATGGTTCAAATCCTGGTCTAATCAGGCTGATGCCCATATAATCACAAGACTATTCTAGCTGCTGGCAGCTACACGAAGCAGTCTGAAATATTGGGTTGGCAACAAAGCCACTTTATTTGGCCGTGTGTGCTTAAGCCCCTTGCCGAGGTGAGTCATTTACGTGTTGATCCTGAACGCCTTGAGGTTCTAAAAAAAAAAATCACTGAGGGCGGGATCCCAAATTGCACCATGATTTCCCGCAGGCAAAACGCATGAATGGGACCAATTACGTCCATACGGCCTGCCCTCTCAGTGCATACCGAGATCCAAAAACGGAATGTGCTTTTCTCGCCAAGCACTGTGTGTGGCTTCGTCCAGGTCCCAGCAAATTTTCGCTCGGAACAATTAAAAGCGCTCTGAATTGTTCCGGCTCGGACTTGCACATTCGCCCCGCCGACAGCCCCACCCGCGCCGAAAGAGCCCCGCCGAGCACCACAACATCTGCACAGCTTCTTTTTCATTGGCCATCGCGCTTTTTGATTTGTTATCGCGAGCAAGACACCATAACCCGCTCGTCCCTGCTGCAAAGTAGCGTCCAACGGCTTCTACGGTCGCCTGCATACACAGCGGAGTCATCGAAGAGCACGTCAACGTCATTGTGTTGTTGGGCAACTCACGGGCGATGGAGAAAAGGCCAAAATGCATTTCTTTTTAATAATTACGAAACAATCATCGCGACTTTCAACGATGCCTTAGTTCAATGATTGTCCCAGTGTGGCTTAGTGTCTCGAATAAGATCCCCTATGCAACGAAGAGGCACTCGTGGGTTGTTCCGTAGGCGGGTTGCAGCTTGCTCCTGCATGCAAGAGGGGCTATCCAAAACTCAATCCAGACATTCATTACCCCTCCCAAGCGGAACGAGGAAAAATTGGCCGACTGAAAAACACTTTTCCTTCTTCTGCTACCCCTTTTTATCCAAAGATATCCCCTTCATTGGCCCACCCCCGAGCCAATACCTGTTTCTTCCCTAATACCACGTCGGTCAGCAACTGGAAAATCATGGCCAACACATCAAATTCAGTGAAGCTAGAGCCACTCTCCAAAAACGAACTATTTTCCAGAACCCAAGCTCTCACAGGCTCAGAACCATTCGCCTACAGCACTGCCAATTCAGATCCAGAGTGTAATGAAGCCCACGATACACCTGCCGATTCGGAGTGCAAGTCCGAGACTTCCGACGAAAACACCATCGAGCAGGCGTGTGATTCGTGCCGCAAACGCAAACTCAAGTGTTCCAAAGAATACCCAAAGTGCTCCAAGTGTAAGCAACACGGATGGTGCTGTCTGTACCTGCCCAGGACGGTCAGACTGCCTCTCACGAGACGTTACCTCACCGAGGTTGAAAATAAGTTGGACAAGGTCACCGAGATGCTTCGGATCATGTTGCCCTCTCATGTGAGCATTGATCTGCTCATGGACAATCCTAACTACGTCGAGGAACTAAGAAACCTCAAGAACGAGTCGACGGCCGAGTCGCCCAACTCTGTCTTCTCCCACGCCGAGTGCAACGATTCCGAGGAGGAATCATGGGACAAGGTGAAAATCAAGCAGGAGATCATCGACGACTTCATGCTTAATAATATCCCCACTTCGCCTAAAAAGCAACCTTCAGACAGAGACAGAGACAGCACGCTGGGACCTTCGTTGACGTCACCTTCGTCGTTGCTCTCGTTGAACTCGATCGAAAACTACGACTACGACGCCGAGGCCTTCCCAGAGCCCAGCTTAAAAAAGCAGCGTCTCAGCCCTTTCTCCCCAGAATACACCTCCATCTTCAACGAAGTCATCACCGACTTCTAGCATCTAACGACCCATTCCATCACGACAATACACGATCCATATGAAGAGAATTGTAGCAAGCCGGATTTACCGTAGAAGTTGAACTTTTCAGATTTTTCAATTGGCGATCTCTACGAAGTAGATTTTCACTAAGTGGACGACGAGTCATTGTGTCTGATCCAGCCCGTTTCTCGATGATCTAGATGATCTACCACATATTTAATTCAATTGAAGAAAACCTTGCAATGATAGGTAGGTTATTTTTATTCACGACGATTTTGTGTTTTTGTAGGTGGGTGACGTTTTGCGATCTTTCTGGAAACCAGCGTGCGTCTCGCGTAATGTATAATATTAGCCAGTGCATTGACATATTATGAAAGGGACATCGAACTAAGAAAAACGGCATTTCGGGTAGAAGTAGAAGAGAAACCAACAAGTAAGAAGAGCCGAATATCATGTAAATTGAAATAAAGGGGTTTGAAGTTAGTGACCGATTTTTGGGCCACATACTCAAGGGATCCAATGAAGACACAATTCAAAATATAATAAAGCATTCACTTAGTATTCGTTAAAAAGACATTTCAAGTCAGATAGTTCCGTATAGAGGAAACTGGATATGCTTCTATAAGCAACCGTTAGTGCAATGTGTATCCCAGTCACCACTACATGCCATATAGAGACCCAGGTAACCCTCCCACAATTCACACATTCTACAACATTTGGTTAGTCAAAAACCTTAAGTCCAAAAACTCACTAGTCCAAAACCTCACCCCAAAAACCCTCACCCAACCACCAGACCAACTGGCTAATGCCTCCCTGCTGCCTCTCCCTACCTGTCAATGCACCTGCTGCTAAATCCCTCACCACCAAGAACAACCAAAATCTACAAATGTCCACGGGGCAATAAACTCAACCCCACTGGGACCCTTGAAATCCTCGGCGACCGAAAAAAAACCCAAAAGCCAAAAAGAAATCTTCTCCACCTCGCCATTCTTCACGTTTGTATTGTTCTGTCATTCCTTCCTGCTCCGAACCCAGCCGGTGCTCCATCCGTGCACCCCGGGAATGGCTGCGAATCCAGACCCACAGAGGAACCCAACACCGCAAGACGCCAGGGAAAAGCAGAAAAAAGAAGTAGTAGAAAAGAATAAATAAAAAAATTGGGAAATTCTGGTCAAGTTTCCCTGAAAAACCCGGACACCACGGCGTAGCGGATCTGCCGCAGCCGTTTTCACGGGCTGGAATGGTAAACAGCATGAAAGTTGAGTCGCCGTGAGCATTACGTCAAGGGTCTCCAGCGCAAGCCCACACCATAGAAAACCATCAAAAAAAGGCCAAATTTTCAAACCCAAATTAAAGCAGAAGCTAAAAATCAAAAAATCAAAAAATAAATAAATCACCTACGCCGCCACGTTCCCTCCGTCCTAAAACCGAATCGCGGGGGTATCCGGCTCGGTCTAGCAAGGGTGAGTGAGTCGTGCGAAAACAGCCATCTCTACCCAAACGACCCTAACCACATCCACACTTTTCTTCAGCAACACCAGGAAAAAACCACCTTCTCTTCTTTTTTCACTTTGCTTCCCCAAAAAATCCCTATATTTATTGGCATGCCATGTCTGCGTTGAAAAACCTCGCCGCCTTGAAGAGGAATATCCACAAGAGACTCAGACAGGCGCTTGAGGAGCTCCAGGAGAATTTGGGCCATGAGTGGGGCCAGAGAGCTCCCGCTAGAATCCCCGTCGTGGTGCCCAGATCCAAGGGCTTCCGTCGGATGAACGTGATTGGTCAGTTTCAGCAGAACAGAGGCTACCTGACGTTTTTTGGAACAAACCACCAGTTTGGCTGGTGTCTTTTTGACAAGTGGACCATGGGCCGTGGCTTCAGGGCCCACGCGTTCAAGGGCCAGTTCCGCTTCTTTTCGGGCTTCTGTCCGTTTAGTGGCCGTAGAGTGGGCACCGGTCTTGTGTCCCAGAACTTTGCCCAGAGAAGCTACTCCCTGAAGGCCTCCAGGCTTTACAAGATCCCTTCCTTGACGCAGTTGGCACAGAAGGATTTCTGCCAGGCGTTTGAGGAGGAAGAGGACCAGCGCTGGAGCAAGGGCATCCAGAGCGCCGTGGCTGAGCTCTTCAAACGGAAGGAGCCAGCAGTGCACAAGTCCGAGTACCTGATTGTAGACATTGCCAGAGCCGTGCCTGCGGTGTTGAAGACAAGCATCCAGTGCTCTCCACACTACCACGACTTGGTGAAACGCTTGGGCAGCTGGGCCACCGAGGAGACCGAGCCGGCTGTTTCTGGCGTCTACGTCGACTTTCGCTATGCCCCCAGGCTCTCCGTCCCCGACAAGACCGTGTTGACCACCGACGTGGTGGACGAGATGATGGACAATTTGGCCCGTTTTAGAGAGAAGCTCGGCGAAGTACAGCGGGACTTGGCTCGTTTGAGCGAGTTGGGCGAGTTGCCCGTAGAAGTCGTCCAGGACGAAGGCGTGATCCGCGTGTTCTTCCCCAACTGCGACAGAGAGCGTCTCGAGACGCTTTTGGTGGAAAAGAACGTCGTTGGCGGCGTCATCCACGAGGGAGCCTCTGCTGGCAGCAGCTCCGAGAGTGATGCTGGGCTGGAGTTCTCGTATGGAGAGTCTGTCGCTTCCGAAACCACCAGCTGGTTCCTCAGCGCCTCCGACATGCCCCTGCCGCTGCTATCGCTGGGCAGCACCGCCAGCTCTCAGGATATCTTGTCGCTGCAGCTGCTGCAAAGGATAGTCCGTCTCGAGCCTGTGCCGCCGCTGTCGCTGGTACACATCGTGGAAGAACACGAGTGGGCCATGTAAGCAAACCGAGAGATTACGAGTACGAGTTACGAGAGAATGAAATCACGAGATATATCACTGACTTTTGTAGACCCACCCGTCTGGGTGCAAATGTCCTGCACCTGGCACGCCGAGCGATACACCTTGGTCCTGCTGCACAGAATCTAATCCTCTCTTGATAACCAACTACTATTCATGGGGAAAAAGGGAAAAAAGAAGACGCAGAGAAGTCAGGCCGAAAATGGCGCCGCCAATGCCGAAAATCTGCCCGCAGCGACCAATCAGGAGCTTTCCCTGACGGAATCTCAAGATGGTACTGAGTCTCAAAAGGACAACGACGAGGATGAAGACGAATTCACCGATACTCAGGAGCGTCATGCCCCGGAGGAACCGGAAGAAGAAGTCAAGGAGGCGTCTGTTCCGCCAGGAGCTTTCCCAGAAAGTCCCAAGAAGGAAAATATCGAGGAGCCTAAAGAACAGGTAACCGAGGAGACTCCAGACGAATTGCCTCCCAGAGACGGGATAAGGACTGCAGTGGAAACAGGTATACCCAGATCCGCCGCTCCACCGTCCGAAGCGCCTTCGTCGTTGCTTGCAGCCAGGCAAAACGAGATTACCATCAAATTCGACTCCAAGGACGAAGCAGCACGTTCTGCCATCGAGCTGGGCCGCCAGAGCATCACAAACACGTTCAATGGCATCAAGGCCACTATTGGCTCTGCGCCCGAGCTCATGGGTGGCGTCGATATCGATTGGGAGTTCTGGGGCAGGGTTGTAGAGGACTATGATGAATTGGTCAAGGACGAACCCCAGACGGTGCAGCGGGCCGTGGCGGACGGGATCCCCAAGGAGTTCCGTGGCATCATATGGCAGCTCGTGAGCCGCTCCAAGAACCTCCAGCTTGAGGAGCTCTACTTCCATTTGAAGAACGAAACCTCCGTCCACGAGAGAGCCATAAAGAGAGACTTGTCTCGTACATCTTTCTTCACAAACGTCAACGCCGCCAACAAGGCCGACGAGTTGTTCAACGTGATCAAAGTCTATTCGCTTTTCGACCCTGACGTCGGGTACACTCAGGGTATGGTGTTCATAGTGGTGCCGTTGGTGATGAACATGAACGAGGCCGAGTGCTTCTGCTTACTTGTCACATTGATGAAGGATTACGGTCTTCGGGAGCTCTTTTGCCCGGAAATGCAGGGCCTTCACCTCTTGCTTCACCAGTTCGACCGTTTGCTCGAACAGTGCCTGCCATTATTATACAACCACTTGGTGCGCCAGGGCATCCGCCTGTCGATGTATGCGTCCCAATGGTTCCTCACATTCTTCAGTTATAAGTTCCCGTTGGACGTTGTGTTGAGAATCTTTGATATGGTGATCACCCAGGGTATCGAGGCCGTGCTCCGCTTGGCGGTGAACTTGATGTTGAGAAACGAAAGCAACCTCCTTCGACTCAACTTCGACGCCCTTCTCGAATTTTTGAAGCTCAATCTTTTTAATATTTATGTCAGCGACGAATTCGTGGCGTCCACAGAAAAGCCGGAAAACAAGCGTTTTTCGCTTTTGGGCCGCAAGTCCACTACGAAGAGCGGGGCTAACTACTACAAGCTTGATGCATTTGTTAAGGATGCCATGCTTGTAGAGGTCTCTCCTGCCGACATCAACAGATACAAGCTGGAGTTTGAACTTCTATGCGAAAAAGATGCAGCCAGAACCGAGGAGATCGAGGAGTACAGAACAAAGAATGGTCAGTTACGCTACGAGATCAAGCAACTCGAGACAGAATTCTACACCATCAACAAGGATCACATGAGTGTGGTGCAGGAGTTGGTGAACACCAAGGTTGTGTTGCCAGATGTCTACGGTGACATCGAGGACCTAGAAGCACAAGCGATCTCGCTAGAAAAAGACATCAAAGAGCTTGAGGCGAAGGTCGAACAGCTGAGCTCGTCGCTCCCGCAGGACGTGGACTCGAAGATTCAGGATCTCTTGACGGAGAATGCGAAGGAGACCGAGAGGTTTGCCGAGCTTGAAGAGCAGTTCCACGAGTTGACGTTGCAGAACAGAGCTGTGGATGCGGAGTTGAAGCAGAAGGGAGGAAAGAAATGGTTTTGGTGAGCATTACATACGAATCGGCAATACGACAAAGGGGAGATGTCTTCCTGATAATGAAATGGGGATTAGGTAAACGGTAGACACAGTAGTTAACAAGAAGCGA